CGTGTTAATTCATCAGTGAAGACTTGAGAGGAAGTAGTGTTTTTAGAGTTATGCTGTATTGATGAGTCCCTAGAGACAGCGAAGATAGAAATCGATTCCACAAAATGATTAACCCGAAAAAGATATGCATGCATTAATGCATTAGAATGATGCAAAAAGGATCGATAATACTATATGTTTATGCCGCTAAGAATGTTGATAACTCTACGGCGTATAGATTAGCATAAAATTTAGTTTTAGATTATTGTTGAGTTATGCATTCATAGGCTACAGAGTATTGAATATATCAGAGAAACTTTCATTCAAAAGGAAAATAGTAAACTAATCACAGAAATCAAGGAAAATTAATATGAGTGAGGTTAAATGCTGAACAAAGTTTCAACTTTATAATATATCATATTCTCAAACAAGAGTCTCGCAATAATTTGTGATGTTTGTCGTCAATTATCTATAATACAGTCGTTTTAAGAGGAATATCAAATTGTTCTAGACTAAAGATTGTTGAACATATGTTTTTTCTTGTTTTATAATCTTTAATGCATATTTTTCTAGTATATTTCATCCTGATTTTTACAATGGCAAGATCAAGTCACACTCAAAGTGATCATGATTTAATTCAAGCTGCACTAACAGCCCTTAGTGGCGTGCAATTGGTTCCGAACAATAGATCGTCCCAGTCGTATAATATACTCTCTGCATTTAATCATCATACCACGACATATTCATCTGGTGGCGTCGGCAATACTTACTCAGCCCGCAATATGGAAAATACTAACATGATAGAAATATACGTTAAACAATCGAATGATGAAAATATCACTTGTCAAATAGATCCATCTAAAACTATTGAGGATCTCAAAAAAATGATACAAAAAAAGAAAGGTATATCAGCTGATCAGCAACGACTCATTTTTGCTGGAAAACAATTAGAAGATGGAGCAACATTGACCCATTATGGAATACATAATGGAGCTACATTACACTTGGTTCCACGTATGCGTACTCAAGCTCCATCTACGCTAGATCTTTCAAGTCTCGATCCACAATATGATTACGATTTTACAGATGTGAATGATCACAGTCATAAATTTCAACGAGGTGGACTCGATTATGTTCGTCCTTGCGGCTGGAAACGCTTTGCTATTAAAGTAACAGATAAATATGAAAATTCGGTATGGCTTGGTCACCAGAACACTGAAGGAGAATGGCCTGTCTCTTATCATGGAACTGGTCTCAATGAAAACAAAACGATGGCGATGGATGGCTACAATTTAACGAGAGGTAAAACATATGCCTTTGGACATGGCGTTTATTCAACTCCTGACGTAAATGTGGCAGAAAAATATGCAGTCAAATTTTCACATGAAGGAAATCAATATATGGTTGTACTACAAAATCGTGTGAATCCTGAACAATTAGTAAAATTATCGGCTGCTGAAACTGGCATTGGTGATTACTGGATTAGTCCTAGTGACAAAGATATCCATCCATATGGAATTCTAATTCGAAAAGTTTAAATACGCCGCAAACAATAAATAATAAACATGAATTTCAAGCATTATTAATATTTTGTTTTGAATATCCTCCTGTCTTTATTATTTCTTTTTTTTGTAAGATGAAATAAATTCATAAGATTTCCAGCAAATAGCTGAGAGTGTGAAATTGAATATGAGTATGAGTACATATTTGTGTGGCGTTCTTCCAGAGACAATACACCTACACATCCACTCCTAGCTAAGAAAACTTTACTTGCCCGATGAGGTATTTTTGGCTCTTGTTTAGCGAATATCTCTGTTGATGTGACTCTACATGGAGTGAGATCGATTTTTGAGGAAGTTTTAAATAAACAATCTGTTAAATTACAATAACAATCATATAACTGAACTATTTCAATATCAGATTGATTTAAAGAACTATACGTATAATATGAGAGTGAATTTGAGTGCAGTTCTTCTTTAAGTTACAACCCACCTTTAAAGTAACTAAAATCTCAAATAAATGTTGATATGAAAGAATCACTATGCGATGACTCACAGATGATAAATCGGTGGAAAAAAAACAATCCTATTAAATAAATGGTTATATAGAAGACACATGTCTTTATTTTACTTTCTTTTTATGTATTAGATAACAGTTTGCAAATGCATAGATAAGAACGAAAAAGTACTGAAATTTGAGTCAATATAGATTAAAACGAAGTTATCTAATTGAAACGTTTTAGGATTGATGAATATCCATTTAAAATGCGAAATGACATTGTCAAACTATTGCATCTCCGTATTTGAAAAAAGTATAGAACAGTGATTATTAAGTACTAAAGTTACGGCGAAATAACTACATGAACAGTGACTTAAAAATAGAAATTTTTTTTTAAGAAAGTGCTTACCTATATCGTAAAAACTGTCGATCAACCGGCAACAACAGCTAGTAACTTTCACACAGCTAGAGAAAAAACACATGCTCGTGACTGAGAATGTTCTTTTCTCTTTTTTAATGAAAAAAAAAATATTTGACAATAAGAAACATGATATAAATCATGTTCGCAAATATTCAGCTGAGAAGCAGGCAAAAAAACTAATATACAAGTTCTGAGCAATGCGAAATCACCATAAACACTTTAGATAAGATTTGAGCCAGGATAAATTTTTATATTATGTTGATAATTTCGACAGATTCAGCGTGCTCAAACTGATAAACAATCAAATTAGGAATGATAATTTTCTTTTTCAAATTGATATAACTCTATATCTACAATGCGTATTAAAGATGATGGGTAAAGCGTCAGTTTTCGTCACATCGGTATTTTCATTATTTCTATAAAGTTCCGAAAAGAACGAAACGTTCATTTTTTTTACGTGAGCCATTCATCAACGAAGTATATCAAAATACGACCCAACGATACAGCTGCGAAAAAGCAAAAATAAATGTCCATACCCATGAAAACAAAATTTGGTATAAAAATGCGTTTCAACCCATCATTTTGTAAGTTCAACGTGTTTAAACGCATTGATTTCTTTTCCCAGTGCATTTAAATGCATCCTTTTTATTTTGATTATATTGCCTGTTCTTTTTCGGCTACAAAGTCAATTATTTTGAAAATATATTTACCGTGAAATTCGCTACAAAACTATATATTTCTATTTAACGTAAATAGTTTGCATCATTTTAGAAAACTCTATATATTTGTCTACTCTAACTTTCAACACTTTTCTCTTGGAAAATTTTTACGAATTTTTTTGGATCTAGTTTAAACTCATCAATCAAGGTTGATTTGAATTGTACTCGATCTCAATCTATTCACTGATTAAATTTATTTGAAACTTCGACTACACAACGTATCAACACGATAATATGCGCACACATACGTATTAATACTGAAAAATGGTGCGATGATAAAATGCAAATATTATATCATGCGAACGTTGACCGGCAAATAGTTCTCATATAAATTCATTACATTACTGTGTTTCAGATAAATTTAATCAGTGAATAGATTGAGATCGAGTACAATTCAAATCAACCTCGATTGATGAGCTTAAACTAGATCCAAAAAAATTCGTAAAAATCTTCTAAGAGAAAAGTGTTGAAAGTTGGAGTAAACAAATATATAGAGTCTTCTAAAATGATGCAAGCTATTTACGTTAAATAGAAATATATAGTTTTGTAGCGAATTTCACGGTAAATATATTTTCAAAAAAATTGACTTTGTAGCCGAAAAAGAACAGGCGATATAATCAAAATAAAAGTGTCCGATTTTATCTGGACCACCCGATGGATGTATTCTACTGAATACAGTGAAGAGAATGATAACATCACAAAAAAAGAAGATGGATACTAGAATACACAATGACAAGTTTTGATATCTTTTGATCGCATAATTTTACAATTGGTCTGGTACGTATACCACTTTATGTAAATAAGATAAAAGACGTTGCTATGAACCATAAGGACATAGCTAGTGGATTTACTATTGTCTGAATTTCTTAGTTTTCTTTATCACAACATATAAATAAACAAATTAGAAGTTTGCATCTTCGCACTGAAATAATATTTATCTGATAGAACAAGTCTAAACCCAGGGTTGCCAGATCATCTGAATTTTTCCGAATCGTAGTGTTTTTTAAAATTTTCGTTTCATTAAAATTTTCGATATATTCTTTGACAGATTTCATGTTGCGCCATCTTTACTTTTCTGTGATCATTGGGTAACTGATTTTATTCTTAGAGACAAGAAGAAAACGAAGAGACGATGCAATATGATAAGTATTTTTTAAAAATCTCATCTAAGATTTCTCAAAATTACTTCGATTAGCGTTACAGAGTAGAATATAAATGGTTTGAAACGAGAGAAAAAAGAAATTGCCATTTGATTTCGAGGAAAAGATTTCCCATCCGAAAATTCAGAGTTTAATCATCCTGATATTATGATTGGTTTTACAATCCTCAGTTACTTATATAAAGGATTAGATATAAAACAAGTAAAACACGGATTACTCAACTTAAAAAATATTCTGAAATAAGATAGAGATAGTTTATTACTATTATGGATTCAAGAAAAAAAAACTTGGATTGACAAACAAATTCACAAAGAAAAAGAGGATGATCCAGAATGGTCCAAATCTTTCAAAACTCTTGATCTTGAAAATGAAGATAGAATTGAAAAAGCTCATTTTTATCTTTCTCGAAACTTTATTTTTGTTCAATATTATTTAAATAATTTCACATTTCCAAATGACACTAAACACTACAAAAAAAAAGGATTTTCTGATACCGATGATTGTAATGATACCATGCCTGAGTCTATTATTCCAAAACGATTACCATCTCAAGAGGGAACAAATTGAAAGATGTTGCATATTTCATCAAGAGAAATAAATAAAAAGTAATAGTCCGAAATAGAAATATCTAGTTCTGAGAAAATTTTAGATCAAGTTTCTACCTATGTGAAAGAAAATAAGGATTGCTACATTCTAATTGATGCAGATGCTATCATTACAGAAATGAGTAATTTTGATGTATCCGAATATCTTATTAACAACATTGATAAAAGTAATAAAACAATGGTAATTTTGAGAAATAAAGAATATTTATCATTATCAACGTGTCATATTGATAATAAGAAATTATTTGTTTATCTGGACGAAGTTCATACTCGTGGATCTGATTTGAAACTATCATTAATTGCGCATAGCATTGTAACACTTGGAAGGAATATGAATAAAGATAAACTTATGCAAGCAGTTATGCGTCTTCGTGATCTCGATTTTAAGCAATTAATTGTAATATGAGATTCAGAGGAAATCTCAGCAAAGATTGCAATAATAAATAGGATTCAACAAAAAGATATAACAAGTAAACATGTTTTAACATGGATCACCTAGAATATTCAAAAAAATGAAAATGATTTATATTTTGCAATGAAAGAGAAATTAAAATACGTAATTAAATGTAGAGCACTTGAGTATCAAAATAAAGTTAAAGATGTTCATATGGATTCTCTCATTACAGCATATATAAGTGAAAGCTTTATGATACTACTTCTTAGGAACGAAATTCAAGAGATCTTTTAAATCGAAATGTAAGTGCTTATTTAGCTGATTTTTATCCATGTTTTAAAAGTGAACTAGAAAAGAAAAGGTAATCTTTAGCATTGATTGAAGGGATTGATAAAAATCGAAATGATGTCGATTGACCAAAAACGAAAAAATTGTTAGAAGCAATAGATCAAAAACTTCCTAGCAGAATATCAACTGTTAATATTGATTATAAGTGTGATCACGAAAATGAAAGAGAGATTGAAGAGATGTAGCATGCTGAAGTTACTCTGGTAGTAGAAAAAACACTGGCACCCGCAGCTATTTGGAATTTTGATACGATCTTTGACCAAAGTCTTAAAGAAAAAGGATTAAAAGAAGAGAATGACTAACCAAAACTAAAAGAATTAAGAAAATGTTTTGAGTTTACCGATATTGATGATCTGAAAAATTTTAAATGGTACAGCAAAGTCTTTGCGACAGAAAATTTTATCAAAACAATTCGACACATATATGAACAAAAATAAACGATATCAAACCGATTATTTGAAACCTGTTAACATGATTTTAATTCATAGAACACATGAAAAAGTGTGTTTTATTCTGATTTCTACGTTTGAGGCTCAGCATCTTATATCGTTGTGCTATCAAAAACAAGCTCCTAAAATAAGCCTAATTCATATCGATAATGTTAACGATCCCACCGTGGTTCCAATAAATGCAATAGTATTAACAAAAGAAGAAATTAATAATGTTATAGCTGTAATTCGATTATCCAATGGAGATTGTCGCTCTAATATAGAAGAAATCATTTGTAATAGAAGAATGCGTGGCTATTGTTAATAGTAGTGCTTTCCATCAAAACAAAGCAAAATCTGAGCAAATTTATAATGAACTTGAATCTAGAAATTACCTTACGAATGGTTTCATGACTTATCAGCTAACAAATATATTAGCTAATCGAAGTGAAAAAATCTTAATAGAAACAGAGGCTAAGCTGGGAGTCGATCTTCAAATTCGGCTTCATTCAATTATTAATAAAAGCATTCCAGAAGATCCTGAGAGTGTTTGGAAATTGTCTGGACTGATTAGACAGTTGATTCGGATTAGAGGAAAGGTGGGTGTACGGGTGTGTGGGCATATACTTTCACTTCATCCACATTCACACCCACACCCACCCCTTGTTATCGATACAAATGAACTCAATGATTGTCTTTGACAAGAAATTAATCATTTAACAGATGATGAAGATAAAATTGAAGCCGTAGTAGGCAAACATCCATTTCATATTTTATTGTTCAAAACTTTCTATAAATCATATCCATATGCATCTTATTATTGCCCATCGTGAGATTTACATCGATTAACACAAATTCCATGGATTGGAAGTTTTGGCGATTGTCATTTGAGAAAATAATAGCAATTATAAGTAGAATTACGTATTCCGGCAGATCAGTCGCATACAATCCATATCAAAGGTCATAGTCGAAATTAATACATTTGAAATATTCATAGTTAATCAATGCCTAATAAAAAGATATGTTGTTTTCTCTTTTCTCTAGCTGTCGAATTTCTCAATTCAGGGTGTCGATGTTATTGAAGAGAAGAATTAAATCCATACCCACACTCATTTTGCTTAGCCAAGATATTTTCAACTTATGAAAAAAACTTTGGTATTAAAGAAAAATTAGATAGTTCATACAGACTGTCTAGCCTGTTGTAAGGTCTACTTGGACTACTATCACAGACTATACATAAACAACGTGACTTGTACTTGTTACATGCAGGCAGGCTTAGAGGCTTATTTGGGACTCTGATATATGTATAATCAGATTGTAACAATATCCACAGATAGTTTTTATTTCCATTTCATTGCTTAGTTTCCTCAATGTTGAATAAGATAAATAGAGGAAGACTTTGCAATCAATATATGAACCAATCAATATTTGAAGAAGAAGAATGATAATATCAAATCTTGACAAATACGTTTTGATCTTATTTGCTCTTTTTAGATTATGATACTAAGGACTTATTTAAGATTGTGGGTGTCGCTTGTAGGTAACTGAATCTTTAAAAGAGAACAGTGACCGACAGGAAGCTTGACTTACATACACATCTACGGATAGAATTATGTAGCTTTAAAGACAAAACTGATTTTTCAGCTGGTTGAAGTTTGTCGATAACTTACAGGAAGATGTAGTCTGTGAAAAATAGCGGATTTATGATATCAATCTTCGGAAAGAGATCAAGGATTTTTCAGATACTTCTGTATTACATCAACAAGAATTGATCATTCTGTGGAATCCAGTGTCAAAAATTTCCAGACATAGAGTATTTGCCATGACTCGCTCTATTCAAGGTGGGTGGGTGTGGCTGTGATTGTAACCATGAGTAGATCAGCATCTACACCTCACACTCAACTTTAACTTTGATTAGCTATCGATCTAGAATCGGTCCTGTTGCGCACAATTTAGCTTTCTGAAAAATTTTCAACTTATAGTTTCCTTATAAGTTGTTTCCTTTATACAGAGTATTGAAAATCGTTATTTCCAAAAGACAGAATAACTAGGAAACCTAGAAAATTCACCATGACATCCAGAATGATTGTAGAAAAATGAAATTACCTGTGCATATGCATCGTGATCTGCTCTATTGAATGACATCCAATGCAGACTTCCATTCGAAAAAATCGAGGTCTTATTGTATGCTTCAATTTTTCCGAGTTATTTCAGAAAGGATTTGAATAAAATCTTTAACTCCGAATTGTATAATGATAGTTTTGCAAACTTCTACACTCGTTCAGTTTTTAACTGCCTATCCGATGGTGTTCGAATGATATCTCAATCACTTATATTGGCTGAGCTATTCCAAAATTTAACAAATGAAATTTGAAAATTTTGAAATTAAATTTAAAAATTTAAGTTATCTACTAGAAACTTGAATTATCAAAACTTTTTCTTCGTTACCAATAGCTGAAAAACCAGGATTTTCTAGGAACCCAACTTTCGAGGTTTTCAAAGAAAACTTCTTAGAGGTAAAAAGAAATACCACATCGAAAAATTTCTTGTAAACCAAATGACAGATCAGTAGATTAAGCCATTCTCAAACTAGCCTAGACAAACTTTCTTATGGAACATATTGATGCTAAAGTCATCGGCATGTACTGCAAAAGACTCTTTATCTTTTAATGTGCAATACTTATCTTTGAGCATCAATCTCTATGAATAAACTGTCACATACGTCGTGTTTTACCCTATAGAAAAATTAGAAATCGCAGTTTAATAATGCCTTATACTTTAATATCATAAGTTTCATGGTTAAATGAAAGATATCTCCAAAATAATATACTAATTTTTTTTTTTGAAATGTGAATTCTCTATGCAACAAGATCAGAAATAAAATCTGAAGATATTTTCATTTCTTCTCAGATAGAAAATAAAAGTGAGACATTTACTATGAACTATCCACTATTCCTCAAAAAATTCCTCCAGATACGTAGAAGTTTCCGAGATTTTTCTCAAATGGTCGTTCATGCACACGCATAGATTTTGTACGTCTGGTTAGACGATTAGAAAAGATATTGTATCTTTGAATTATGAAGTTAACAATGGTCATATTTTTAGACGTAGGAATATGTTTAGACAGTACTGTATGATAAGCAAGAGTAAGCTCGTTGTTAATAGAGAAAATTACTAGAAAATATACAAGTGTTAGAAAATCAATGATCCTTTTTGAGCTAAATCATATATCAAGAATGAACATTTTATTTTCAAAAAAATCAAAACAAAAAACAAGAAGTAAAGTGTCAGAAATGATCTTTGCAAGAACATTCACCATTTGTTTTAAAACGATGAATACCATTTGCATCAGAAATAAGAATTTCACATTGTCGAAGTTTAGCTACTCGTTTCATGAATTCATCTACAGAATAAATATATAAATATACACGTATATATATATTGTCAAACGTGACTAAAATAAACTTACGGCAATCACCACAAAGACGAAGATTATTCTTTATATTAATAAGAGATGGAATAGGCTTTTGAATCAAATTAAAAGCTAATGCAAGTTTTTCACTATGACTACATAATACAGATATAACAGTTTCACCTTTTCGTAATTTACGACTGATCCAACGTGAATCAAATATATAACCATCTTTAAGAAGTTCAATCGTTAAACGATTAAGTTCGGCATAAATTTCTGTCGATTGAGGATGAGATTTATCATTGACTACAAATTCCTAAAAAAAAATAAAAATGTGATTTTTTTAAAAATCAATGTTGAAAATTGAATAAGATATCTAACCACTATTTCTTTATCTACCATAGTTAATGATTTTCCTACTACAACTTTATTTCCTGACTGTTTTCGATATAATCGAATTTTATCTAGAATTTTTTCGCGTTCATTTGAAGTTGAATCGATTTTGGAGAAAAGAACTGAATTATAAAGCAACGAGTTCTTTTGATTATCTAGTTTTTTGTAAAAGAAAAACAAATATAATGTTCATTAATACAATCTATAAAAAAAAACATTTACTGTCAATAACACAAGAAGCCATATTTGATATTTGATAATCATAAATCATTCTTTGTGTTTTATTATATGTTAATAAATCATTTAAATAATTGATCTAAATTCGAATTTAATAAAAATTCAATCAATAAAATAAACAACTAAACCTTCATTGGAATTCTTTCGAATTTCATTAAAACTTCATTGAATAACAATTGATATCGAACAAAATA